CGGAGAACGACGAAAGCGATCATCTAAAAGATACAAATGTTTATTAACAGCTGTCTACTCAAAATACGTCGAATTCGTTGGATAAACACTATCAGCAACAAACTACTGTAGGTGAGAACAAATCAAATTCCAAAAAATGAAGAAATCTGGAAGAAACGCCAGAAGTAGATAGGACACATATTGAGAAAAACACCAAAATGTGTCACAAGGCGAACCGTCACCTGGAATTATCAAGGCAAGACCAAAGGAGACGTGGAAGATCAAAGAACACATTACGCCGAGAAATGGAGACAGACATGAGAAGAATGAAGAACAATTGGATAGAACTAGAAAGGAAGTTCCGGGACAGAGGGGATTGGAGAATGTTGGAATGACTCAGACTTCCTTTGTTCTTGCATGTTCATACAAATTTCATTCTGTATTCATTCTTTACTGTTCGTTCTTTTTGTCTCTCTGTTGCCGGACATTCTGTCCTCGACTAACATCATATACTACTTATGTCTACATAAGTAGCACACACCACACTATAACTCGAATCCATTACCTAACTTTTCAATTTTCAATTCATTATCCACTAAGCCGTTGAGTTTAGATAGTCGCTAGATTTTTTCAGAGAGTATATTGTTGATGGTATAATGATAAAAGTTCTACTTTAATTAATATCAACAATGGTATATGATCTGAGATTTAATATCTTTCTCATGACTGTCATGGGATAATGACCAAGATCAATACTTAATCCCAATTGGTATAGAATGTAATACAATTGTTGGGGATGTTAGTTCTCCAGAACTCACTTGGAAAAGGACCTACGTTTGTTGTTTTATTTAGAAAATTTGAATTTCTTTGTTTTTCGCGCCAAAAGCGCTCGTGTCACCTTTATGTCGTATTTCCCATTCGGGGGATATCTCAAATGCTATTGGTCCATTGCGTCTTTTAGTATGCTATTTAGTAACTCGTGATAGCTTCAAACCTAGTAACAACCATGGTAAATGTACAGTAATGCAAACATTCTAGTTCTATCCAATTGTTCTTCATTCTTCTCATGTCTGTCTCCATTTCTAGACGTAGTGTGTTCTTTGATCTTCCACGTCTCCTTTGGTCTTGCCTTGATAATTCCAGGTGACGGTTTGCCTTGTGACACATTTTGGTGTTTTTCTCAATATGTGTCCTATCTACTTCTGGCGTTTCTTCCAGATTTCTTCATTTTTTGGAATTTGATTTGTTCTCACCTACAGTAGTTTGTTGCTGATAGTGTTTATCCAACGAACTCGAAGTATTTTGAGTAGACAGAAGAGACAGATAATCTAGCTCGTCCAGCTGCAACTTGTCTGTCCAATCTAACTCTTGCTTTCCCCCAGATGCTGACGTTTTCATGATTCAGTCGATCACCAGTAGAATGACAAAGGGTGAGAGTAAGCAAGCTAACCGGAAATCGGTCATTACTTCAAACGAGTCTGTCAGCTGTCCTACATGCAGGATTTTGCAATTTAATCCATCATAAGAATATCATATGATATTGACTATCTTTTCAGGCACGCCGTAGTGTCGAAGAAAATTCCACAGTATGGTCTTGTCCACGTTATCAAATGCTTTCTCGTAGTCAATGAAAGTGATGTAGAGTGATGAATTCCATTCAATTGATTGTTTTAAAATGATAGTATATAACCTTATAGAAATCTTTTATGTCCGATTTGGAATAACAATATTAGTATAATGAACATAAGTAGGGACAACAAAATATTTGGTAAAATATGATAACCATACTTCATTTGCAAATTTCCATCATTTGTCTTTCACATTCTGTATGAATCTTCCTATTCACATTTCCTTACAATCAAGATTCAGATCTGTGTAGTGTAAGGACAGAAGTCTTACAGCCTGTATTATTCCTTTTTTCAGTATACTACTGTGAGTGTCTAGTCTTCTCTTGAATCAATCAATTGAAGGTGCAGACACCACTGTATCGGGTAACAGATTTGAAGAATTGATAACTCAGTGTAAAAATCTGTATGCCAGGGTTATTTGTTTTCGTTCTAGGCTTTTCTATTCACCTGCTATGTCCTCTTAGATGTCCTGATCTAGTAAGAAGAAAAAGATGAATATATTAGATCCATAATCATTTTTTAGTATTGTGAACATTATAATCAGATCATCACTTCATCTGCAATAGGATAGAGTAAAGAGATCTAACTTTTCAAACCACTCTTTTTATGGTATATTCGTTAGTTCTGAAATTGCACAAATATCTACCCTCTGTACATTTTTCACAATATTCCGAATCACCTCTAAAAAAACAGGGGCTTGTAGACTGAACACTATTCTTAAGCTTAAAATTCTGTTCTTATTCTTTTCAATTCAACCTTCATAACCTTCTGCCAATAGATTCTCCACCTCCACATGATATTACATACTACTTATATCAGTTGATAGACATATACAAACTTATCCTTGGATATCAATGATTAAGATCATGAGTCAGTTGAAGCTAGACCACCATGGAAAACCTGGAAGCACTGGACGGCCGTTTCGTCCTATTATGGGACTCCTCAGCAGTGCGCATCCACGACCTCGCCCCCTGCGAGATTCGAACCCAGGACCTACTGGTTTCGCGCGCGAGCACTTAATCACTAGACCACTGAGCCGGCATCCAACGGTGTTAATGTCTAACTTCAACTAATCCACGAAATTGAGCGACACATCCACCATTGTCTTCAGTGAGTTACTATCCGACAACAGACCTGGTTGAACTCCACTGGTCACTGCTTCTCACTAGAACTCCAGGATATATCTTTTGAAGCCAGTCACTAGTGAGCATATGTTGATTATTATCAGAAGGGGTTTTGTGGAAATTGTAGTAATTTCAATGATTAAGATCATGAGTCAGTTGAAGCTAGACCACCATGGAAAACCTGGAAGCACTGGACGGCCGTTTCGTCCTATTATGGGACTCCTCAGCAGTGCGCATCCACGACCTCGCACCCTGCGAGATTCGAACCCAGGACCTACTTAAATTCTATGTTTTGTTTTCTTCTTTGATCACGTTTTTCGAAGTAAATAAATCAAACTAAATCATCAGTAACAATAATAATGACATGAATAATAATAATAACAGATCCATTATTCAACTAGTCGTAAAGTTTACCTCATAGAACTGAAATTCACCTTAGCTTTCTCTTTCTTTCTTTCTCTCTCTCTCTCTCTCGTTCTTTCTTCCTCTCTTATCAATCCTTTCTTTCTATTGTGTCATTTATTTTTAACAGGTGAATTGATAGAGTTCAATAATTCTTATATAATAACTTTATATAATAACCGTGAGTTATTGGTTAACAACAATGGATGTGAGCACATATATATATATGCATATGTAGTTAGATAGATAGATAGATAGATAGATAGATAGATAGATAGATAGATGTATCCCTTGGATACATAGACATATTTCTATGTAGACGTTCATATACACAAATAGATTTAGAATATGGTGAATACACGAATAAAAATAACATCCAAAGTAAATTATTGAACAGATCTCAAATATATATATGCCTTATTATTATTATTATTATTATTATTATTATTATTATTATTATTATTATACATTTGAGTACTAATATTGATCATATGAGAGAAATTGTCTAGAAAGATCATAATGGATTCAAGTAATAATAACATTTTCTTTTAGTTTTGTATTACTTAAGGATGTATTAAGTAGTATTATACTTGAACTGTTTTCGTGTGATAAATAAAAAAAATTATCCGAAGGGGTTTTGTGAAGATTTTAGAAATTACAATAGTTGAAATTATGAGTCAATTAAAACTAGACCACCATAGAAAACCTTAGAATACTGGACGGCCGTTTCATCATAGTGAAAGACTCCTCAGCAGTGAGCATTCACGATCTCGCCCCCTCGCTGAGGGGCTCGAACCCAGGACATACTAATCTCACGCCCGTGCGCTTAACCAATAGATCACTCAGCCGTTATTTAACGATGTTAATGTCTTGCTTCAACCAATCCACGAAATTGTGCCACTGTACATCATTATCTACAGTGAGCTGATATCTCACAACAGACCTGGTTGATCTTCACTGGTCACTGCTTCTCACTAGAACTTTAGGAAATGTCTCTTGAAGTCAGTCACTAGTGATTAGATGATTATTATCAGAAGGGGTTTTGTGAAGATCATGAATACGCACTGCTTAAGAGTCTCATAGAGCCGTCCAGTGCTTCCAGGTTTTCCATGGTCGTCTAGCTTCAACTGACTCATGATTTCAACTATTTAAATGAAAAATTGACAAAAAGAGGAGAAAAAAACGAAAATTTAACCAATTTTGATTACAGATCAGTCTTACAGGTAGCCGGTCGAGGTCCGGATAGATCTCTAACTGTGAAACTGGGTGACAAGGCTTCAAATTCGTCAGGGAGCACTAGTTTCCTCAATATTACAGGTACACCTTGCTGAAGAGTGTCAAGTAGCACGAAACTTTGGTCAAGGGTTTACTGTTGTCTGCCTCTAACAGTCATCTTATTTCAACATAGTTCATGCAATGTCGATTCACCTAGACTACTGGCCACATTGAAACTCGGTCGATAGGATTCGATCTGCACTAAGAAGCACCTGACATATATGACATTGATCACCATCCAGTGATCCGTCATTTGTAAATATATCTCAGTCCTACAGGTCATTCGTGACCTGAATAACTCAGCAGGAACATTTCTCATCGCAATACTATATGACACGGGATGAAATCCGTTAGTGAGCATCAGTTCCCTCAAGAATAATAACAAGTACACCTTGCTGATAATTGTCAAGTAACAAAAAACCGGAGTTCAAGGGTTTCCTGTCGAGTATTTTCAATTACCATAGATTTTACGTTTGAATACGATCACTATAATTATTTCTTTGAATGTTTACACGTGAAATACGTCCGTTTGAATAATCATTATGGTGTGTATTTTGAAGATGATTTGTTATTGAGATAATTTCAAATGTTTAACATTGAAATGAAAATATTTCCAATTTGAATATAGATCTTACTTTCAAAAAAGAATGAACTGATATAAGTCCGAGAGCTATGAACAACTGTTCAGATTCCTCATTAATATATATTCCATTCACATAAGTTATTATTGGAATTGTAGTTTCAATATCCAGAGAGTAGTATTCAGATTCATCAACATTAGTTTACAATATGGCATAATTCACATTTGGTACCGTTGTCATGTCAGTTACTATGTTTAGTTCACATACTTTATTCTAGCTTCTGGACAGACCAATTTATCCATTCTACTAGTCACGTTTTGACATTATTACTTATTCACTTATCTACCCTGACTGTTTTTATATGAGCGTGTGTGCGTATGTGTGTACATCTTATCCTATGTCAGTAACTTACTTTTATCTGACTATAAGTATTGATTTACGCTTGGCTAAATGGAGTTGACTTACACGCCTTCTCCACTGCGCATCCTTTCATTTTGTTTCACTCTCCTCTATTCGCTCCGTTCCTCTGATTGTCTGTCCAAATCAATGATTGTACAAAATATACGTATTCAAAACTTCATTCACGTATTTAACTTATTTAATTCCGTTATTTATCAACGCAAGTTAAGTCGATAGTAATATACGAGAATAGCGAGAATATATATTTCGATAACAATCATTCAATAGCAATCAACATATGATCTAAATGGAGTTAGATCACGGGCCACTAAACCATTTATGGATTATAGTGCTTCGAAAACGTCATCACTTTGATTATGATCATAAATCGATTGATGTTAGATTACCATTCAAAACTTGGAAGCACTGGAAGACCATTTGATTCTAGTATGAGACTCCTCATCAGTGTACATCCACGATCTCTCTAGCGAGATTCGAACTTAAGACCTTTGGTCACGTGCTCGAACACTTAACCTCTAGACTACTGAGTTGGCATCCACAACCCAATGCTGATAATTACCATGTACCCACAAGAAACTAGCTTCTCAGAATTCTAGTGAGAAACCATGACCAGTGAAGTTAATCCATATCAGATAGAGGGAGGTGCCTACTTCAGTACAATAGAAGATAATAGTGCAATTTTGTGGATTGATTGAGGTAAGACAATAAAATCGTGAAATGTAAACTTAGTGGTCTAGAATTTAACCATTCTCGCATGCAAGACAGAAAGTCCTAGGTTTGAATCCCGCGAGCAAGATCGTGAATACTCACTGCTGAGGAGTCTCAAAAAAGGACGAAACGGCCGTCCAGTGCTTACAAGTTTTTAATAGTCGTCTATCATCAATCGATTCATAATCTCAATCAATAAATTAATAATCTCCACAACCCCATACTGATAATTACCATATACTCACTAATGACCAGCTTCGTGAGGGAATTCTTAGAATCCTAGTGAGAGACCATAACCAGTGAAGTTAATCTATATGAGATAGAGACAGGTACCTACATCAGTACAATGGAAGATGTTAGAGCAATTTCGAGATTAAACATTAACATTATCAACTCAATGGTCTAAAGATTCAACATTCGTACACTAGACCGAAGAGTCTGGGTTCGAATCCCGTGAACAGGATTCTTAAAAGAACTTTTTGTAAATCATTAAAATATCAATAAAACAACAACAACACATATATATATATATACAATATACAATTAATCCATGTGATTTCATATTACATAATAATGTAAATCAATTGTAATTAATATTTCCGGTCTAATTTCTAGAACAATAACTATTATTGGTAAGGATTTCTATGTTAACAAAAGCAATCACCATATTTATATATTGGGGATAGAATATACCTTGGAGACATGAGAAATAACTAATTGTATATTATATATAAATGATATCAATGTTTAAAAGGAAATGAATTAGACAATGATAAATTGTTATTTTGTGGTTCATTATAGTGAGTTTAGTTGTCCGTTTCCAACACCTCCCTCACCCCCCCCCCGGCAGAAAAATTGGAAAAGTATTTATTGAACTGAAGGAAATGGTAGCTAAAATCTTAATAAAACGATATATTACATTGTGGTTATTATGTTTACTGAAATCTTTTATTAAGTAGTTTCTGTATAGATTTGATTTAATCTGTAAATGCTGTTTATTATAAATTGATTTCAATTGAGAGGCCATTTTATTCCAGCATAGGTCCTTAAAGAAGTACATAGAAGTACAATTCTACCTAAATACTCAACATAGAACATTCTATTTTTATGATGAATATTCATTATGGGTTTTTTGTGATTAACCTTACTATTGTAGTGAATGAGAACATAAATGAGGGAACAAAATTACAGAATCTCTTAGTAAAATTTGAGAACCATTTAGTAATGTCATTCAATTGTGTCATACTTTATTGTTCTTTGGTTTCCATACTAATCACTCTTTGTTATTGTTCTCTTTTCTTTGATCTTCTTAACCATCTACCTTTAAGTATTTCACTTTCGACTGATGATATATACTACTTATATCTGTCAATATCAGTAGCACATCTCACCTTACTAATTTAATATTCAGAATCTTTTAACATAAAATATGAATATGAATATATGCGTGCATTTATGAATCTGCAAAACTCTACCTGGAAACCATCTGGGGTTAGTGCTGGTCTCAAGCCTGGATGAAACAGAAGAGTTAGGCATGGGGTTAGTAACTCCATCCTTAGTGTAAGACTCCTCTTCAGTACATATTCAAGACTCAATCATTGGTCGAACCTAGGATGTATATATCACGTAATGATTTTCTAAAATCTAAGCTATAAAGCTGAAATACAATAGTATGGGTTTATATTTCTTTGTTTATTTATTCAAACACACAAACATTAGTACAAAAAAGGTATCAAATAGATATACTTCACATAAATCATTCGATTTATGTGAGGATGGAATACTGTCCGGGTGCCAAAACCAAAGTAGGTGGTTTTCTTAAGAAGTCACACCCGAAGACTCTGACCTAAAGGTGTAATCCACAAGGCAGGGGAGCAACGTAAGGAGATATAGTCACAGGGTAGTCGGTGACCAACAATAAGTTCATACACCATTCATCCCATCAGGATCATCGAGTCGATGTTCACCATTGGTTTGGAATGAAAGTTTCTCAACTCCTCTAGGTGGATCCTCCATGTCCACCAATCCGGTGAAAGCGCCGGACATCCGCTTATTGTTCTCTCAATGTCGTAAACAACAGTAATGCCGCGAGAATGCAGTGAGTAAGACTTCCCTGTCAGTTGTTGTATGCACGTGGCCATTTGAGAGCATTTGTCAAGGGAGATCTGAATCTCCCTACTCTCGATTATACCAGGGCATTTTCAGGCTTCTAAAATTCAATCCTTTATCTAGTTGTACTGATGATGACTATTTCACTTCTGACACAACTATGCTCTACCATTTATGAACGCTCATTAGAACCTGAGAAACTCGTCTTAAACTAAAACCCTACTGAATACACGACTATAGTTTTCTTCTCGAAAGATGTTAACAGAAATAGATTTAATTCATGAATGATATATTACAATGATTTGACCTGTGTATTGTGTGTGTGTGTATGTGTGTATTTATTACTTTTGAATTCCATACTGAAACAATGTAAATATTCAATATCCCAATGAGACTACAATTTATGAAGGACTTTCGAGTGACGCTAGAATAATGATCTTGAGAATGTTCATCTATTTACTACGATTAAATGAGAGTTATAAACCAATGAGATGAATTCGGATTATGATTTACAGTTAATGGTTAACGGTGCCAAAACTCTATTTGACGAAACTATAATTTATGGATGAACCAGTCAAGTATACGATAACAAGCCTTAGATTTTCGTATGAAATTCACTCATCCATTTTGGCTAAATAAAGCAATGACATTTAAGCTGATGTCAGTTTGTGATGAAAACCTTAATCATCAAATATAAATCATAATCTATATACTTCAAACTGTTTTATAATATTCATTTGATTCTAGTTATTAACTGAACACTCTCAAAGTCACATTAACGTCACTCATAGGTTATTCATATATTATTATCTTATTCATTATTTGAATCAATGAATTTCGCGCCAAAATTCCAAATACGTTTCCTCAAATCTGATTGGTTCATTTAGAAATGATTATTTTACCGCTATTTTTCCTTTTTGTTTACATCAATGAAATGTATAATTTCACTGATGTTTTCCTTCTTCTTATTCTTCTCTTACTTGATTAGATTGTTTGATTAAATCCAAAAAAAAAACAAAAAAAACAAAAAAAAATTATGGGAAATTTTGTTGGACCAAGAAAAAAATTATCAAGAGAAGATTTAACTTTTCTTAAAGAGAATACACATTTTACTAAACGACAAATTAAACAATGGTATAATGGATTTATAGTAAGTATTTATATACTACTAATATTATTATTATTATTATTATGTTTATTAATGGCATTATTCAGTAATATATAATTGGTGTTGTTATATTAAGAGATGAAATTCTTTAATATAATTTCATATACATAGTTCCCTTTATCATTTTGAAAAGAGCTAGAACAAAGATTTTAGCAGAATAGCATGAATTCATTTTATTTCGTCCCGATTCTCATCAGCTGCTTACAACCTGTTATATTTATAAATCATAATAAGATAATGAGTTTAAATGACTTACATGAGAGGGTTTTGTTAGAAGTTATATAGAAGACATATTCGTATAGTGTAGCAAGGGTGTAAATGAAATCAATATACTGAATATTGTAAATATATACCTAATGTGATGAAAGAATATTCTACAGCAAACTTCAGAAGACTGGAGTTTGCTGAAGCCGTTGCCATCAGGCGTCAAAAACCTGACCTATGTGTTCAAAAGGAGATGGTTGTTAATGTTTCTTTGCCTTGGTGACAAATATTCCTTCGCTGCACCATAAATTATTATTATTATTATTTTTGTACTTATTACATCATTGATTTTCATTATTTTTATTTCTTCAACTACATTTCAAATTAATAATCTTTTAACTGAACTCTACTCACTATATTCCTATCAAAATTTTTTTTACTCATTATGTAATCCATTGTTTCTAGCCCCCCCCCCTTTTTGAACTGTTGTCACAATTAATGATGTAGAATATTCTTTCATCACATTAGGTATATATTTACAATATTCAGTCTATTAATTTCATTTACACCCTTGCTATACTATACGAATATGTCTTCAACATAACTTCTAACAAAACCCTCTCATCATGTAAGTCATTTAAACTCATTATCTTATTATGATTTATAAATATCATCACAGGTTGTAAGCAACTGATGAGAATTGGGACGAAATAAAATGAATTCATACTATTCTGCTAAAATCTTTGTTCTTTAATATAACTTGAAAAGTTGAATGTTACAACCTTTCTTCTTTTAGATAAAGAACTGGTAAAACAAAATTATTATTATTATTATAGTCTATTAATCCATAATTAGAATTTGTTCAATAAAGAATATTCTTTCAACAAAAAAAATGATTAAATGAAGTATCTTTAACTATAAATAGAAAGTATTTTAGAAAGTTTAAGTTTTGTACTTTTTTTTTAATGATTTTAATGAGATCTATTGAATGATCATTAGTTTAGATGTTAGCAGTTTAGTCAATCGGCATCTAGGTAATGTATATTCTTTTTGTTGCATATGTGATTAGCAACCATAATATCTGTGATTGATCATAATGAAAAGTTGTATACATTTCAGAAACAAACTGGAATAGGTTATGAGATTGATTGATATAATGATATTAGATGGTGATTGTAAGTAATAGACAGGAAACCGTGGATACGGGTTTCATGCTACTTGGCACTTGTCAGCCAGGTGTATCTGTAATCTTAACGGAACTGGTACTCTAGGTGCAGGGTTTCCTATCGACTACCTCCAACCACCATCTAATCTCAACATAGTGCACACAATATCGAGTCACCTAAACTAATGGCCAGATTGCAACTTGGTCGATAGAATTCGATCTGCACTAATATGGAAATGATGCACATGACATTGATCATCACCCAGTGATCAATCAATTGTGACATAATGATCTGTTAAGACAAATAAGGAAAAAAACGGCGAGACTCTAATTTATGAACGAACTAATCAGAAGCGTTTGAGAGAGTTCAAGGTCACAGCGTCAACTTCAGTGCCTAATGTTAACGTACGATTGGTTCACAGAGAATTTTGTACAAAACGTGATAATTGAGCGGTTATAACAAATAAAACGGTGAGACTATAATTTATGAACAAACCGATCAGGTATATGATAACAGATCTCGGATTTTAACGCGAAAGTCTATCATCCATTTGGCTAAATAGACTTTTGGCATTATAGCTGATATCAGTTCTTGATGAAAACCCCATATATAATTCCTAACTAAGGTAAATTATGACAATTATCGCGAACTGGATAATAAAAGCACCAGTAAAAACTAGCTGCAGCCAGGTACTACAACATATACAGATAACTGGAGAGCGTACAGACTCCTACATAGGCTCGGTTATGTGTATCGTGTAGTTATCTACAAGTGACATTTGTGTACTCAACAACCACAGTGCACATAGACAATATTGAAACCATGTGGTCGAGGCTGAAAGAGTTTTTGAGACTTTATCATGGTTTCAGAGGCTGCTATTCCGTAGCCATATAAATGATTTCCTCTACTGTATGCATTATGATTTTAGAACCTGTGAACCTCTTTCTAACCTTGTCAAGTTTTTGAACCACGTATAAGAAGTGTATCCACTTTATTTGTTTGGTTTTGTATGATATATTTTTATTCTATGTTGACTGTTTGCTGATTGGCTAACACTTTTCAAGATTACCTAAGATTCATTCAAAGGTCGTCCATAAGTTATAGTCTCGCCAAAAAAACAATTAACTTGTTGAAAGATCTAGATTGTAGGAACAGATAACCTAGATATTCAAACAGGCCACCAAGTTGTTTTTGATTCGTGATCCAAAATAGATATAAATAGATTAACATTAGTAGAATATTTTATTCAATATAATTACAAGTAGTCACATATATAGTGAGTTCAAATTGGAAATCAATAATGTTAATCATAGTGTTGGGAAGATCCAGAAAATTACTTGAACAAGTAGACAAACATCTTATCCAATGCGTATTCAATAGAAATTTTACCAGAAACATCTGGAATGTGAAAGGACACATGACGAGTTTCTCACTGAATGATTACCTATACTGCTATACTATGTTTAGTAGTCTTCGAATCTGTTGGCTGGACACAATTAGCAATAACCTACTGTGGGATAGAACAAACCAGATTCCAGTGAAGGAAGAAATCAGGAAGAAGCGCTGGAAGTGGAGAGGACACACATTGAGGAAAGCACTCAACTGCGTCACAAAACAAGTCCTTACATGGAATCCTGAAGGCCAAATGAAAGGAGGAAGACCAAAGAACATATTACTACGGGAAATGCAGATAGACATGAGAAAAATGAACAACAATTGGATGGAACTATAAAGGAAGGCTCAGGACAATGTGGGTTGTAGTATGCTGGTCGGCGGCCTATGCTTCATTAGGAGTAACAGGCGTGAGTATGTAAGTAAGTAATGTTTACTAGTATTCCAGAATTTTCTGGAAGACCCAAGTTCATCTATAATACTATAAATACCCTAGATTTTCTGTACATAAACGAACCTTTAGAGTAAAACATTCCTTTTATGTTCAAATTGCTGTGTAGATTTAATCTGATGGTTATTAGAAGAGCTTAGCAACTGAAGTTAGCATTCAATTAGAAAACTTATCATATAGCACAAATCATAAAGGGTATTTTCCTTATCGATTTAGTCTTTTGACTTTGTAAGATGTCTAAATCATTAATAAAACCAGTTCAATAATATGAACTAATTCAGTAGTATTTGTTTAAATAAAGTAATTAAATGTTAATCTGAATGAGTTAAGTGAATGTCAATGTCAACTATGTTAGTTTCTAGTCGACTATCATTGTTAGGACTTGGTAAGTTAAATCTTTTATAATTGATTGATCACTAGGTGGTGATCAATGTTATATATATATATATATATATATATATATATATATATGTCAAGTTCTTTTTAGCAAATGAACATCAACTCTGTGATGTAAGTACATTTAGCTGACGAGTTTCAAATAGGATGAAACGGACGTCCTAGATTCCACTACTAGCTCATATCCATCTTTGCTTATGAAGCTCGTGACCTAAGGCAATATCGAGGCAATCCGAACAGGATGCATATATATTTCAACATGAGATTCATCCATTGCTGTCCTAAATAACAATGAGAAGATACAAGTAAAACAACACCAAGTAAATTTAAACATAGACATTATTTTATTATAGACCATGAAAAATAGTTATTTACTACTTCCTGCCCCATCCATCCACCCCCACACTTCCAATGAAAGGAATACGTTGTCAGGTGACATAACGACATTATTGTTATCATGTTGTTCTTTTTTTGGTTTCAATTATAAAACAATATCCCTTAACAACAGCCTACCTAGTCGGTAAGACAAAAACAGAAACAAAGATAAAAAAGTTAATAATCATAAAAACTTCAAATCATATGACATTTTATGGTTGATTTAATAAGCAACAACAACAACAGCAACGACGACGACGACAACAGTGATAAATGAACAATCATCTATCATCAGTTTGGGGGGGGGGGGTAAAGATTGTTAAGTTTTGATTGAGACCATAAACCGATTGATGTTAGACCACCATTGAAAACCTGGAAACACTGGACGGCCGTTTCGTACTATTGTGGGACTCATCAGCAGTGCGCATCGACGATCCTGACCCGCCGCGAGATTCCAACCCAGGATTTATCAATCTCGCGCGCGAATGCTTAACCTATTGGACCACTGAGCCGGCATTCAATGGTGTTAATGTCTAACCTCAACCGATTCACGAAGTTACGCCATCGTACACCATTTTCTTCAATGAGCTGATATCTCACAACAGACCTAATTGAACTCCACTGATCACTGCTTCTTATTAGAACTCCATGAAATGTCTCTTGAAGTCAGTCACTAGTGAGTAGATGATTATTATCAGAAGGGGTTTTGTGGAGATTGTGGATGCGCATTGCTGAGGAATTCCACAGTAGGACGAAACGGCTGTTCAGTGCTTCCGTGTTTTCAATGGTAGTCTAACATCGATCGGTTCATGATCTCAATCAATCAGTCAACCAAGCATTTCATTGAATCATTTATTTATTCATTTTTTTATTTAATTATTTATCATTATTTATTAAAATATAAATAATTTAACCAGAATTTTAATTACTTACTTACGCCTGTTACTCCTAATGGAGCATAGGCCGCCGACCAGCATACTACAACCCACATTGTCCTG